CAAAGGCGACCAATCGCCATTCGCTTTAATTCACTAGCTGACCTTCCACTTGGGGCAGGAAGAGGGCTGGGGTTGATGGAGGTGGGGGAAGCTGACCATAAAAACATAGGGCCCTGCTGTGATGGAGCATATGTTGGAGCATCTGCCTATCACTGCCGATCAGTGGGGTTTCTGACAGAGCCATTTGCAGGACCTGCACTGGGTAAGGGGACTGAAGCTCAGTCTTAAAATGAAATATTCTGTAAAATTGTGCTTGCATGCGATTATGTTTTTTAGTGGGATATAATGTCTCCTCACTTTAGTGTAAAGCAGATACAGATAAAACATATTATAAACAACATACATTAGTGTAGCTGGACTCAAGGTGAACTGCTCCTCTGTCCCGGATGCACTCGCATACACCTTTCCTCCAGTTTCTTCCTGGAGAATGCTGTTTACTGGAAAGTGATGGAGAATCCTGATCCATGACCGTTGGTGTAATCTAATGAGCAGAGGAGAAGCTGGTGTGTGGGGGATGGTCAGCTTGATGGCTGATGGGGTTTTGGGTGGAGGGGTGTGAGCCTCTGTCCTCATAACCGGACCACTGGTGTTGACCTCTATTCGATCAAAGCAGATAACTGAGCGGAGTCAAAAGCATTGTCTTGTCATGTTGCCTGTGAAAATTCAATGCACACATGGGCTGTAGACACAATTCCAAATATTTGTCACAGACATTTAGTTTTAACCTTTACCTTAGCATCTTTGATTTGAGCAGGTTTGTTCCACTTGTTTCTGGGAGTTATTTAGAGGTGGGCAAAGGTGACCTGAATTGCCAAAAAGGCCATTGCTCTTTTGTTTTTTTTTTGTTTGTTTGCTTTCAGACAAAACATGACTTTTACATATGGAGAGGACAGATATGGATGCTTTTCATTATTGTGGCCTGTTCTTTATAAAAGATTTTATGGCTGCACGTTACTTGCATGCTGACCTCTACAAATTTATGGGCTTCGGGTGTGAGAGCTTTGTCACATAGATATATCTGCAGAAGCCATTGTGTTAATGCAGTGTGTGTTTGCGTCTTGTCTCCGGTCCGTGTGTGTGCACATGTAAGTGTGTGACAGGGACTAATTTCATTAGTGCTGCAGTGCTGTGGGAGATGAGCAAGGATTGACAGAGCTGGAGTCGTAATGAATTGGCTCTGGCAGCATCACTTGGCCTATAAGTTTTCTCCCACCTCCTCCAGCATCTCTCTTCTCCCACACTTTGGTCCTGCTGCCTCTCAATAAACACACCCTCGTTAAGGCCTGACTTGCTAATCACTACTCTTCATTACCGCTGTGCCGGCCCAACCATCCGCCCATATATTACAAATGCTTTGAGTGCAGTGTGGCCAGCTTGCATTTGCCGTTTCCTTGTTTCATTGCAATCTAAACAAATTTACTAAATAATTGTCTCAGGGGCATCCTCGTTCTTCTGTTCAAGGGAAGCATTTCTCTATTTAAACCACATTAACCGTGTCTGTCACCCTCTTGGAACACAATCATTAAATGCCTTCAATTGGACTCATTTCCTTACTTCATCTCCAGCCCGTTTCTACTTTTTTGAAGATAGACACAAAAAAGCAGTTTAAATGTCTTCATAACCATGAAAGTTGGCAGTTGGATTCCAACCGTTAACAAATGATTCTTGTGGCATTGAGTCTTTGAGAAAAACACTTCACTCACCTTGTGGAGAGGCTTGAGAGGTTTTAACAGCAAAGACTGACAACATAATCTATCAAACCATCAAACATAATGCTTTATTTATTAAGCTCTTTTCATACAAATGTTTCATAAAGTTCTTGACAATTCATTGAAACAACCCTGCCCATTGATCCTTCATCCCAACCACCTAGTCTTACCAGTGGATTTCACCACATGTGCAATAAAGTACCATGCGTACCACCACCATTACATCACAACTGGTCTATTCCGTCTTGTGTTGAGGCTGCAGCTGGACTTCCTACAGAGGAGCAGAATGGACACAGGACTGAAAGGCTCTGGGCAACATCTTTGACCTTTAGGAGGTGAAAGCTGCGGATCCTGTAGTGGGGACGCCCCACTGGCTTGTGCAGAGCCATCCGACCCAGTTATAAAGGAAACTGAGGTTGTGGGGGGCTCTGAAAGGGCACACAATGTCGATACAGCAGGAGGAGTGGCCATGTGGACCCCCACCCGAGCAGCGAAGATGAGCACTCTTAGAGGCTATAGGTCTTTATGTGAATGTCTTGAATCCAAGGCCTTTGTGTTGATTGTATTGTGACATAATGTGATACAATGTCAAGATCATGAACACTGAGTGAACTTCACACATAATGTCAGTAAATGCAGATGGTGCTTTCAGTCATTAAGCAGCTTAATTCTGAGTATCTCAATAGCTGCATAAAACAGAAACTGAGGCCCCTCACCAGTGTAAGAAAAGTTCAGCTGGTTCAGAAACATCTCTGTTAATGCAGCCCTATTTTACATGGCCGACAAATTAATTTCATGGATTTATTCAGACATTTTCCTCTGAGTAAGACTATTACTATAATTATTAAGCTTACATAATAATCTGATGTTATTGACACACCACTTCACACTTTGAGATAAACACAGCCTAGCCCTAACTGACATATCGACGTGTGCATCAGTTTTCTTTATTGACCATTCTTTATTCAGTCATCTACAACTTCAACAACAGAAAAGGATGATAGTATTACTGAGATGTTCACGGCCTTTTTTATGTCTTTAAACCTTTTCCCCTGGTCATTGTGTCATAAACAGTCAGGGCCCTCCACTGAAGCATCTCATCTGATGGATGCCTGATGTTTTCTATTCTTCTGATGTTGCTGTTTGCTCTTTTATAAGAACATTGATTGTGTAGGTCGGGTGTGCTGACCAGTCCCCTCCTCCGCTCAGAGACTCTTTCATGTTCCCAGCAGCAACCTGACACCTGTCCTGGCCCCAGCAGTCCACTTCCAGAATCCATACATCACACATACACACTCAATGACACAAGTACAGGCAGGATCCAGGCGCAGGTGCGACACACATCGTTCCTCCTCCAAAACACCTCAAAATGTGGACTTCACAACATCATTGACCCCATCCAGAATGCCGGCTCCACTGCACCAGAGGGAAGATAGTCTGTGTTGATGGAGGTTTATGGAGTTTTTGAGCCACTCTTTTGAGGCAACCACAAGTTGATGGGATTCAGTATTTACAGACACAGTCAAACAGTCTTTGAAAAGGGCAAGGAGAGTGAAAAAGAAAATGATGGAATATGTGAGAAAGTCTGTTTCCGTGATGCTTTGTGGTGTGTTGAGTGCACTGCAGGAGCAGCCCATATCTTTTGTTGTACTGTTCAATGTTCTCTTTTGATTATCTTGTGTGTATCAATGGAAGTAAAACACTACATACTATTTCATATGCTTTGATATATTTTATAAATGGCAAAAGTCTTCTGCTAGACAAATTGATTGAACAGCCCCAATAAACGTTTTTTAAGCCACTTCCACCTAATACAAGTCTCCTACTTTTCAAATGAGATTTGTTCATAGCAGTGTGTACAAAATAACTTACAATAAATTGACAACATGAGAAACTTTAAACTGCAAGATTTCACACGCATATTCTTTTAAAACTTGAGATGTTGCCATCTCGGACGTGCGTTAATCGTGGCAAAAAAAAAATTTAACGCGCTTGATGAAAAACGTATTTAACGTAACCCTACTATATATATACATATATATATATATATATATATATATATATATATATATATATATATATATATACAGTACATGTGTGTCTGAGCTGATTGTCATCTCACAAGTGAACATTTTAGTTTACAGGCTGTGCTGAGGTAGCCTGACTCTCGCCAGACCCATGTAGTTCGCTGCACTTCACACATGAGGTTCAGCCAAACGCCTCTGGTGGAGCATGGCGGAACTACAAGGGTCTGGCAGAGCCAGGCTAGTGCTGAGGACCCTGATGTACAATTTCATCTGTCAACTAAACAAGTTTCATTTCATTTTCAACCCCTTTATTAGTCCATTTCTGGGTCAGGGGGGTGACAATGAGAGCTGCCACCCAAATGTCCCTCGATGATCATCTGCAGGGGGTGAGTCCACAGGAAGATGGCTGTTCCATCAGTTGAGAAACCACCTTGATCTTTCAGCGGGGGCTTCAGGCAATGTGAGGTTAAGTGTCTTGCCCAAGGACACAACGACAGCAGTCATCAGTGGGAGCAGTTGGAGTAGGTCACAACCTCCAGGCCCAAAGGCCAATGCTCTACCAACTGAGCTACTGTCGCCCCCAACTTTACTGCCCCCAATTAGCGCTCACAAATATCAGGTTCAGTGCCGCTCACTTTCATTCCAAGTTGTGGAGACAGACATTCTTTGGTCCAGTTTTAAAAGTCATGAAGAAAGAACAATCAATCAAGAAAGATAATCAAAACTAAAGACAAAAGTATTATTCAGATAAAAATATCCTAATTCTGTAAAATTCAAATTGAAATAAAAAAGGAGCACATATTTATAAAATATGAGTTTCAAACAAACATTCCATTCCTGATATATTTAGATCAAAGAAGTTCACCTTAGAAAAATTCCAGGGTCCAATCAAAATAAGTTTGACAGCCGCTTTATGTGTTCATTTTGGTCCCTCGAGTAAAATAGTTTGAGCACTTGTGAAGCAAGACTACCGCCGCATGTTGATTTGTGAATATCACTGTCCATGCTAATGGGAGAGCACCCCTGCAGCCTCCACCCGGCAACTGTTTCATTGTGTGCTAATTGTGTCTTTAACTACTCTTTCCGGTGCTGGTAGCAGCTGCTGGTGTGGCACAAGCGGGTCGGTATATATGTGCAGTAGCTTGTTAGGCTTAAGATGGTCGATAGTGTCAGCGTTGTTTGTGTGTCCTCATTAACTGCAGGATGTCCCTCAGTAGGAGAGGGGAGGTAAGGAGGCCGCTGTATCGATGATGAGCGCGAACCATCACATCGATCCATCCCAGTCGTAATCTCCCATGACCCCCTGGCAGCATGAATTACACCAGTGGGCAGCGTTTTGTGAGTGAAGGTGTGCAGAGGAAGAGAGGGAGAGGATACAGGGAGAGAGGGCGGGGCTTCTGTAATTACAGCAGATGAAGATCGTATCAGGGAGACAGGAGCTTGCAGAGGCCAAGTGGATTAAGTCAAGAGAAACAAGAGGTGTGAAGCGTGAGGGAGAGTGCTGGACTTCCTCTGATGCGTTCACCTCAGTGCGGCCCCGTTCGATAGGGGGAGACCCACTGGTGCGTCCACTGAGCATCCTTAAAGACCTATACGGACTTGGAGAGCGGGGAGAAAACTTTAGAGTATACTGTTTTGCAATCAATGCACGTTCCAGAGAAATTGTTAACGAGTCCAGGCATATCGATGCTGCGAGGCCTCGTTTGGTTAGATGTGTTTTATGAATGTGAATGTCTGCAGGCATTTTGAGGTTTTGGCCAAATTATAATGATTGATTTAAGAAACAGACTGTGCAAATGGTTTACAATGTATACCACAGGGGAATATAGCAAACATACATGGGGTACATACCAGAGGTGTGGACTCGAGTCATGTGACTTGGACTCGAGTCAGACTCGAGTCATGATTTTGATGACTTTAGACTCGACTTGACCAAATATAAAAAGACTTGCAACTCGACTTGGACTTTAACATCAATGACTCTGACTTTCACTTGGACTTGCGCCAATTGACTTGCAAAGACTTGCGTAACCCGGGCCATTTTTTCCTTTCTCCGCATCTCTTTCTATCTATGCCGTCTCTGAAGAAACAAAGCCTCGCGGTAGTTGTAGCGCTCGCGCGAGAGTTCGAACGTGAGTTCCAGGCAGTTCGCGCAGCAACACTTCCCTAAACAAGCGCACTGCATTCACCGGTGGGTGTATTGTCTAGGGGAGCTGGAAATGAGCGAGCTGCAGGTATTTATCGCGACCTAACGTCATATTTTGTTCTACAAACCGTAATTGATATGCTTTCACTACAGGCGCCTCATACAATTGAATCGACGCAGTTGTCACACTCTGTGCCGTGTTTTAAAGAGGAACTGGTGAGTCAAACTAGCGCTAGCCTGCGTTGCTCTGTTAGCTCTTTCTTATATTTTTCTGTGTGGGCGCCGAGGCCTATTATTATGAGTATGTTTTTGCTGTGCTCCTCCTGCTAAAGTTTGCATACATTAGATAGTTGTTTTGATTATGTGCACTAAGCTAGATTAATATTTGCACTATTGTTTATGGTTCATTGATATGAGAATCAGTGCTTTGACTGATTGAATTAATTTATATGAGACATTTTATTATGTAATGATATATTGGTAATTATGAGATATTACTAATGCTGGTCCAGTTCATACAGGCCAGGTTCCTTCCCCTCCATTGGTCCCTTCAGTCCTTTGGAACAATAACCACTATGGACATTAAACTGATTATATAGATACAGGTCCTAGCCCAATACTCATATTCATATATGCTGCACTTGCTACTTCCCATTAAAAACCCCAAAGATAAAAAGTATGTTGACACGGACTGCTCTGATTTTATGTGTGGTCTGTGCATGTGTAACTGAGCCTGCATATGGCACAACATAGTTTTGATTTACCAGCAGCCAACCACATGGAACAAACTGTTAGTCCATGGGTCAGAGACCAACGAGAATGCACCAGCAAAATGATTCCTAACATTATTTTGTTTGCCTACAAAAGTACGTGGAGACCAACAAGAAACAAATCGCGGTCAAAAAGACTCGAGAGGACTCGAAAGTCAAACCGTAGGACTTGGGACTGACTTGAGATTTGTTGGCCTTTGACTTGGACTCGACTCGGGACTTGCCTGTCTTGACTCGTGACTTGACTCGGGACTTGAGGGCAATGAATTGAGACTGACTTGTGACTTGCTAAACAATGACTTTGTCCCACCTCTGGTACATACAGTATGTGGTGCTAAACTGCGGCAATAGTGTGTTTTATGTTATTATTTATTCATTTATTTGATAGGGACGGTGCACATTAATGAACATTTGAAAATATTGGGTAAATATCTCAGATTAGAGCAAACAATTGAGTTTCCATCTGTTACACATAGTCTTAAAGTGTGCTATAAAGTGTCTTGAGTTAAAAGTGCTTGTCCTTCGTCCACTGCTTTAGCTGTTGTAAGACTGTGAGACATCATCATATTGTCAAAAAGACTGTACCAATAGTGCGTCCCTTTGATACACAACATATTCTGTCAAATTAGGGCGTCTGTGCATTTCCATAAAATCATTTTGCTCCAGTTAAGGCGTACTATTCACTTTTGCACACTCAAACCCTGATAAATATTCCTCTTTGTTTTGTGTATCATTTATTCCACTCTACAATCGATTTGGATTTTCAAACAGCCAATTATTTTTCTCTAAAGCAGAATAGTCTATAACACTTTATTAATTCAACAGCTCTGTCTTGTAACCATTCGTTTGACCTTTTTTTAACCATTGGGCAAATGTGCGGTGAGCTGCATTGCAAAAACTGGAATAAGAGCAGAATGGTGTTTTTCTCAATATAGAATCCCCTCTTGAATTAAATGAATGCAATGTCTTTGGGACCACATCAAAGCAATTAAGATACAAATGTGACAAAAATGACAAACAGGCTCCCTCAGGCTCGCATTCCTGCCATTGATTAACACAGACAAGATCAGCATTAAACGAATATGCACATGAAACACTGACATTTACAATATAATTTATTCTGTATTTCATCTTAAAATGTGAAACCAATACATACTATAGACTTGTTATATCCGTTCTTTGTTAGGGTTGCAGTCCACAGTCCATAAAAAAAAAATCAAATGACCTATCTTTTATTTAGGTGTTTTACAAGCTGTGAGCCATAAGTATCAACATTAATATCGGCTTGATATATCTCACTTTGCCTGTAATGAATCTCTTAGTTTCACATTGTAATTTCAGAAGTACGGTAATGGACTTCTGAACGATACAGTATACGCATTTTCTGAGTTTCACCTGTACACACATGAATGATAAACAAAACATACATACACATTTGAAATAAGCACATTGGTTTTAGAAAGAACTAAATAAATTGGAAGATATCAAAGGATGCTGGGGGGAAAAAAACGATGAGGCTCGTCACGGATCCAGCGGCAGCAGCACCGAGGTCAGTCTTCCAACGCTGTAATCTAAAAACTTCCTGATGGGCCCAACACTCCCATGGCTCAGGGAAGGGCGTAAACAGTACACACAGGTGGCTTTTATTACGGCTTTATATTTTTATGAGACAGGAGCAATATCACAAATTCTCCTTCGGTCCTTCAGCCCTTTTCCGGTTAATTTTCTCTGGGAGGAGAGAAGGTTGGAGTTATATGAAGGTTGTCGTATAAGGTGCCTCATACATCAAGCAGGATGACCTTAGCCTTGGTGACAGTCAGGACAGCAAAGTATGTGTGCGCCTTTGCAGTTTCACCACACATTTCCTGCTCCACTTTGGACTTTTCCAGATCAAAACTTTCATCCCAAATTACGCGACTCATGCTGTATGCAAACGAACGACACAGCGGTGGGGAGTAGGATCTGGAAACAGTGTTTGTGCTCAGGGATATCCTCAGGTATAGGATTACAGCAGCTGAAGATTATTATTGATTTGCTCACGGAGCTGTCAGTCTACACTCAGCTACAGAGCGCCCGGTGACTGACAACCTAGTGACGGGGTTGGGTGGCCCGCAGCCAACCAGCCAGCAGGAACCACTCCTCGGGACGGGCCAGGGGAGAGGTGCGGGAAGATTGAGGATAAGGTGCAGGGATAAGGGTAATTGATGATTGTTTCAGCAGTGCATTGGGGAGGAGGGGGAGAGTGAGGATGAGGCAAAGAGGAGGGGAGAGAGAAGAACTGATGAATGGAGAGCTGAAGAGAAATGACTGAGGGTGCAGAATAGAGGGTGATGAGCCAGACGGACTGTGGGGAAATCTTGGCTGTCTAAAGGAAGCTGCGTCTACAAAGCAAACACAAGAGGAAGCTCAAGTTAAATATGAGACAACACTTTTGTTTATGTACTCACACAGGCTGCTAAGACGTCAGAAAGTTTGTAATTTATGTTTTCCATTGTGCTTCAATACAACGTGTGGAGTACGCTTTATTCCCATAGAGATTATTTTGTTTGTGTGCGTTGAAGTAGAAGTATTTTATTAGGTTTGCAAGTCTCAGAAACATTCAACTTGTGTTCAAGGTCACTTTGATGGCAAGTGCCGTCCAACCACTTTGTTCTTTTGCGCAATGGTAATAGAAGGAAATGTCATCAAATGTTGTCACATATTTCCGAGAGCTGTGTATTCTTTGCTGAGAAAAAATGTCAATAATCACAGGGAAATTGTGTTTGTGTAGGCTGATGGCTAAACTAAACAAAATCTAGCCACAGCAGTAATTCAAACCAATATTTGATGCTATTGTACCAAAGGTATTGTGTAAAACGAAAGGCTTTTACACTTGAGACGTGTGATTATAATGTGTGTCCTGGGTATAAAAGATAGCTGATGCAACTATATATTTTAACTGAGTTTGTCCTCCAGTGCCAGACAGAGTGGTTGCCCGGGCTTGTTAAACTGCCAGTCTAATCAAATTATCTTGCACTAAGGTATCTGACCCTCATTGTAGAAAAAGCACGCACTTCTTTACATTTGGTGTGTCTTAGATGCTTTTTTCATATCATACAGAAGGGCTACGGTAAGTTTCAAATACAATTTGTATCTGAAACATAGGTACAAATACAATACGATTCAACACCAATATTTCTAAAATATATAATTCTGTAAAAATAAAAGATTTGTAATTTCTCTGTAACACTCTGCCTCATTTGAACAAACATACAAAACCAATGTTGTGAATTATTTTAAAAGTCAAAATATCAACACAAATGTCATTATTTGTTTTCATTACAATTTGTATAATGCAAAGAAAAAGTATTTTTAGCACATCCCTATCTTACAGGCAGATTAATCTTGGAGGGGCTTTCTCAGAATTCTGACAGTAGAGGGAATGACCTGTGTATAAATCTTGTTTTATCACACCAATGCCACTAGTAAAATCACATATTAATTTAGAACTTGCCAATGCCCTAATTTCTTAATTCCATTCATCTTTGACAACCTTCTTTTTGTCTAACGGTCATTGTGTGCTCTCGCAGCTCGACCTGCTTCAGAGTGCAGACGCAAGCACAAACAGTCCTCCTGATGTTATTAGTTGCTGCACTTTAGAAAACCAAGTCATTCATGATTTTA